GAATCCTTTCTCACAGAAAGCAACAAAGACAAATAAATCTATGGGTTAGATGATGGCACTAAGCACTCTTGGACTATGCCATTTGTGATATAACCTATCATATAATAGGGTCACCTATATATATCTCTTTCAAAAAAGCAGAACAAAAGTGAAATGTCTTTTCATCATACTTTTCTCTTACTTGATATTACCTTAGATATTAGCTTAAATTGTTTTGCTTCTTGTACTTTCCTTTAGGAGGAATAATCTTGGCAAAAATAACCATTAAGGAATACTTTGCACTGTAGGTCCCACTGATGGAAAAGAAAAAGATGGAAGAGGGATACCAGGATGGCCATGGACACAGAACAGTGTCCTTTCTATGTCAATCTGTCAGGGAGAACACTTCTTGGGGAAGCTAGCACTTGGCATTCCTTTGGGCTGCCTGGTGGTTATTAAGCTGGCCAAGACTCTTCAACGACAAAAGACGATTTGTTCCCTTGCCCTTGAATCAAGGGTCTCTGACAGGTGATAAAAGTAAATCTCAGGATAGAAGATGTTTTGTGTCAGCCCCCGAGACAGTCTGTATTGCAGTACGGAATTATTTACGCCATTTGGAACACTTTTGATACCTATCCCTTTCCAACCTGATTGTAATTTGCATGGAAACTCTGTAGTAAAAAGGTAAACTATGTCAAAGAGGAATACATCAGAGAAATATAGACTTCATATGCACGATGTAAGTCTAGCCTTGAAAAAAAAATTGTGTGTTGCTTAAATATTGTAAATCCAGCATAAAAGCTGAGTGCCTAGACTGAGCTGTCCTAAGCTGTTTTTGTTGAAGCCAACAGTCTTTAGGAACTGATTTTTGTCTTAAAGAATCATCTTTGATTTGTGCCACAGAGGCAGATAAATGTCAAAAAGACAGATACCTCTTTCTCTGAGACATTGTCCTATATAGTGTAAAGTTAATAGCAAAGTAATAAGGAGTCTCTGGAATGACAATAAAATATAAAGTTGTGCTGCTCGGTGCAGGCTTCATGATCTATAACCTGTAAACTCCCATAATCGCAGCATTCCTGTCGCCATCACCATCAGACAGGAGTGTGGTACCTGACCAGTGCCACATGGGTACAGGTGTCCCCTGAAGAGAGGATGGGGCTCCCTGGGCCACACCAAGTGTGACCAGATTAGCCACATGACATGTGAGTAGGAACAATTTGGGAATCAATTAACTGAAAGCATTAAGAATGAAAAATCCCACATCAGCACACTTTTGCCACATGGTTTTACCACAGATAAGGGATGACCACCATTAGCTGGTCCTCATTTGCCATCTCAGACACTGAATCTTTGAGTTCGTGGATTAAAATGATGTGTTCATAGGTTGTTTCTATAAACTTAAAATGGAATTTTATGTTCCCAAAGTTATACTAAACACTGGTAGTTTCTCTTTGAGTCAGTAATAACCGTTATCTCATATGGAACTCTGAATCATATAGACTCAAGATCTAACAAGATCTTGCATTAATTTTCATTGATCCTGTAAATACCATATTGGGCATCAAAGCTACCTGTATCTAACTGTTAAATACGATACATCAAGAATCAAATAAAATGTATCATAAAACAACATATTTCACGCCATTTAGTGTTGGACTGCCAAACTTGACCATTCTCATGTTGCTTAAAGAAAGTTCAATATTCAGTTATAATTGTGTTAACACATGATTTATCATCTAAACTAGAACACTTCTGAGAGTAAAAAGCAGTGCTATTAATAATTATAAGGGACAAAAGACATAAAACCAGGACTGTCCCAAAACCAAACCAAATTCATTGCCATTGAGTTGATTCCGACTCATAGTGACCCTACAGGACAGAGGAGTACTGCCCCCCTGGGGTTTCCAAGGAGCGGCTGGTAGATTCAAATGGCTGACCTTTTGGTTAGCAGTCAAACTCTTCAACCACTTTGCCACCAGGGCTGCCAGCCACATATAATTTAGAATTATTCAAATGATTACTTGTAAGGCCTACTATGAGTGTACAAAGCAGATAATAAAATTTGATAAACGTTTCAAATATCTCATCCTTTAGTGTTCCTAACCAAGGAATGTTATTTTGTTTGAATCACCAAGAATGCACATTATAGGGGGAAAAAAGCCTCGATGCCCAGATCTATTTTGGATGGAGCTTCTTCGTTGCTGTCGATTCTAAACTGCAAGGATAATTGAACAGCACTGACTTAAGGCCATCTCTATTAGTCCAAACTGGCAGACAGGTTGATGGATAGAGGGGTGGGTAGGTAGGTAGGCAGAGAGATAGATGGAAATGTAGGGCAATAGGTAGGTATGTGTAAGTAGCTGGGTGAGCAGGTAAGCAGTGGGTGGAGAGAGATTGACTGAGAGCCTGTAAGAGGATAGGCTCCCCAGTTTTCACCCAGGACCCTCCTCCCTGCAAAGTCTTGTCTACAGAGAAAATAGCACCATGTATCTAGGCTTTGGAGGAGCCCTGGTAACGTAGTGGTTAAAGCGCTTAGCTGCTAACTAAAAGGTTGGCAGCTTCAACCCACCAGCCATTCCATGGAAGAAAGATGTGGCAGTCTGCTTCTCCAAAGATTTACAACCTTGGAAACCCTACGGGGCAGTTCTACTCTGTCCTACAGGGTCACTATGATTCAGAATCAACTTGACAGCAGTGGGTTTGGTTTATCTGGGCTATGGGAGCCAAACTTTTGTTTTCCTCCTACTTACCATGAATTTACTGAAGACACCTGACCCCTAAAATCTGCAAGATGCCTACTTTTCTGAATATATAAAACGAGATCATTTAAATCTTACAATATTCAAATAGAATTTTCCCCGAGACCCCCAAGTACAGGGATTTCGCAAAAATAAAGAGAAGAGCCCTGGATGAAGCTGAGCATTTGTGCCCAGACATCTGATCTCACTGCCTGGGTCTCTGCCTGGACAGCACGGTCTTGCCAAGGAGCAAACATCCAAGGGCGAAGCCAGCTCTACTGACCTGTGTGCTGCCTCCGGTGCTTGGTAAGAGCGTGTCGGGTCCCGCCAGCAAAGCCACAGAGGTCACATAGGAACGACTTCTCGCCTGTTGCAACAATAAACAGATGAGGGACTGCGGAAGTCACAGATCATTAAAACATATCTATCAAGGCTTTCAGGGTTACTAATTCCTCCAATCAAATGTTTCCATGTAAATATGTCAAATGGGAATGAAATTACCACTGCGGTTTATTGACTGTGATAAAATCTGAAAAGCACCACTGAACATAATTACATACTTGTCAGACCCATAAAAATTAGCTTTATTATCAATGGAATGGTTTTGTACAACTTCATTTCTGTTAGATGTCTTCCAGATGGGGCTGCTTTATGCACTTGAACAGTTTTTATGCATATCCTGATTTTTCACAATTCCCATACATCTGGCCTCTCTGAGCTGAGTAAAGATTGCTTGGAATAGTTAATATAAGGTATATATGATTCTGCTTAAATAAAACATATTGAATTTTCTAACAACTTAAGGGTATTGAATGGGTTTTACCTGATTCTATCAGGGTCTTCTTTAATAACTTCCTACTTAATAATATGAATTAAATGGTCTCCTTGAACATACTGAAGATCCCAAGTAACAATAAAATCCACATTACTCAGTACCAATAACAATTCGATGCTGTTTATGTTTCTCAAACTTTCATGGCATTAAAAAAAAGGAAGTCTAGGGATTGCTAAAGAAATTGCAGAAAAACTTGTATTATTCATCTTTAATGATAGCTCTTGAATGAAAACCCCTGCAACAATTAGAGATAGATTTGGCAGACTTAGTGTTTGTTAAGAGTGTGTAAATGTTCATTTGTTAGTATTTTTATCTGAAACATTTTGCCCTGCAGTTTATAAATGCAATCTATCTTTCGACTGTAGCATATTTAGGCAGTAAGTGCTGGCAAGCTAGGCAGTTTTATCCCAAAAGGCCCACGAAGAAGGGCAAAACAGAATAAAAATGTTAACCTTGGAGAGATTCAGTGAAATTATAAAATACTTTTCCAGATATAAAATACATCATTTGTATCTACCTTTATCTACTTTACTAATTTAGACATGTAACGCGACAAGTCTTTCAAAGGTTTTGCTTGAGTCAGCCTGCTGTGTTCTAAAACATTTTGGCATATCATAACAGAAATTTAGCTTGAGGAGTTTTGGAAATGTAATTGCTTTTTTAAGGTAAGAAAAAATAGTAAATCTAGAAAGGCGGAATAATTTTGGTAATCAAAAAGTCTTCCCTTTATTTAAAAGCCTTACTAGCTTTTCTAATTTAAATTAACACATATTAATGAAAGTTTTAACCAAATAATGTCTAATCTTATTTCCTAATGGTATGTTAAAATGTTTATTACCATCATTTAAAAAATAAAGCTGAATTTAAAAATATTTTTCCTATCTTCACTTTCCTTTTGGGGGGGTTAAGTTTATTCCTTGGTATCATTATTTCAATATAGAAACAAAGAATGGAGTAGATGGGCTGTGAAGAATAAAGTTTAATTATAATCACTCATTTAATTATTTAATCAATTTTCAGCGTAAATCTTTCTAACTAGCTGTGTTATCAATTAAATAACACTAGAAGTAGACATTTTTTTCAATCCCAAAAGGCATTTTGCTTGTTAGTATTAACATGCCATCCCACGTTGAAGTAAAATTGTTACCTACAAACTATTCACTGCCATAGTTTTGTGGGATGAACCTGTGTGTTGGGGGCGGGGAGGATGTGGCTGCACCAGTACACACTCCTGCAAATGAGTGTGGTAGGTGTGTGGCTGTGGGAATGTTGGGCTGGGTCACCCATCTGGCAATATGTCTAATGGGGAGAGAGGATTCCTATTACTTTTGGATTCAATATGCTTCTTTCTCTCTGTTATGAACTTCCTTGTGACCCACATCTTTCTTATAAAATAAAAACATTCACAACAACAGAAAAATCCTCACGAGATTTATATTCTCTGC